CATCAAGATTGTCATGCAGGCCGTTTTGTTCAAATTCAATGCGCAGCATGATTGTCGTCACTCCAAATGCCCTTCACAGGCGCAATCAATAAAACAAGGCCGAGATACTACGGCGCGCACACGTCTAGCTATCATGCATAGCGACGACACTCGATTCCACATCAATATGCACGGCCTTCACAACGCACACCTACTCCGGGAATCGCTACCGCGACATCTCACAATGCCAAAGCCACTCTTCGCTGATCGACAGGCTAAGCACAATGAGTTCGCGGCTACACTCCGAGAAACTGGGCCCGCTAAACGAGCAGAGACTGCGGCGAAAGCACAGGCAACGCGCAAGAAAAATCAAAAAGAAAAGGAGGAGAAGGCGTCAGCAGCTGAAGCTCGGCAGCAGCAAGTAGTACCAGGCTGATCTTGTGTCAGCGACGGAGCCATTGGATCTCAAGATGGCTGCGTAGATAAATATTACATATTGATACGAGGGCTATCAACGCTCAGACGCCAATATCTGTCTGATGTAGAATTTGGGGCTTCAGGATGTCGATGCATCGTCATGTCAATATTTTGTGGCATATATTAGAAAAAGATCTGTCAGGGATCAGCGGTCTGTGCAGTGTTGATATTAATTTTATATACGAGTTCTGATTACCTGTCAACATTAAACTCGAATGGTGGTGTACGACTCACAAGTGGCCATTCGAAATAATAGAACAGGTGCTGGATCGGACTGGCACCTTTCATAAAAATGACCGTCACCAGTCAACTTCCGGTACGGGGAATCGAACCCCGAGCTGCCGCGTACCACACACAATTCACTGCAATGAAAGGCGGCAATGTTAGCCGTTACACCATACCGGACGTACTGCTGGATCTGGTTTGATTCAACTTGTCTCCATCATAATTCACTATTCAATGGTTGAGGCCCAGTGGAATTCCTGGCACAGACGCTAGTGATCAAACATGCTGTCATGGTAGTACAAGTGGTACATTAACGGAGTCATTCCGTCACTATCAAGAGTGCCCACGAACGGGCTTAGGCTCGTATCTACGAGCGATTAGCAAACATATGAAAACATGAAAGCAAGACTTACGACTCCTCCAAGTACTTGATTTCCTCCTCGGAGAGACTGATACCAGTCGTCACACCCTCCGCGACCCTCTGCACCGAGTTGAAGCCGACGATTGGGCTCGCGACCTTACCGCCAACCCATGCGAGAGCTATCTGGCTCATCGTGACTCCCTTCTTCTCTGCGAGCTCCTCTACGCGCTTGATGATCGCCTCGTCCGCAGCGGAGTGCTTGCGATCTTTCGAGCGCGCTGTTGAGACGCTGAGAGGCCGAGCAAGGGAACCAGCACCGAGAGGTGCCCATGGGATGAGCCCAATCCCATTGTAGTTACAGTATGCATTCATCTCGCGTTCCTGTAACGAATAAATTCAGACCCATTTCTCAGTCTAAAAAATGACAACCCGCACCTCTTCACGATAGAGCAACGAATACTCGTTTTGCATGCTCACAAATTTGGTCCAGCCCTTCTTCTCCGCGACTTCATTCATCAAGGCAAACTGCCACGCGCGCATACTGCTCGCGCCGATATACCTGACCTTGCCGCTCTGGACGAGGTCATGCAGGGCTTTCATCGTCTCCTCAACGGGAACGGCAGGGTCGAAGCGGTGGATCTGCAACAGGTCGATGTAGGAGAGCTGGAGGCGCGCGAGCGAGGCATCGACGGCGTTGAAGATCGCCCCTCGCGACAGTCCGCTTTGATTCACGTAGTCGCGTTCATCTTTGAGCTCGGGCCGCAGGTAAGCCATGATAGATGGTGCGTGTCCGACTATCCCGTAGCATTTCGTCGCGATGATAAGCCGCTCGCGCGGGATTTGGCTCTGTCGATATATGAGTTGCATATTCTGCCATGATCATTTGGGGACTATACTTTTTTGATCCAGTTGCCGATGATGCGCTCTGATTCGCCGTTGGAGTAGATGTTCGCGGTATCGATAGTGTTGATACCTAGATCCCAAGCCGCTTGTAGGATCTCTGTGCCCTTGGCCGCGTCAAGAACCCAATCCTGCGTTGCGAGCGTCAGTGCCTGAACATGGTGTGGATCAAAGCCCTTACCGCCCACTCGCTCGATCCAAAGCTCATGGCTCCCAGCTAGTCAATAAAACATCAGTTCTTCATCTGAGCTAGTACGAGTTGGAATGGAGGAACTAACAATCGGGACAGAGACGCGAAGGCCAGATTTGCCTAGCTGCCGGTACTCGACCTTGGGTGTGGTGGACGTCATGATGCTATGCGAAGGGGTTGTGTCGAAGAGCAAAAGGAAGACATTGACTGATACTAACGTGCGCTTTATATGTCAGATCGGGTTCCGGTTTCTATCGATCCCGACAAAGGGCAGCTGACACGCCGTCACTTTTGAGTTCGAAGCTTCAAGAGGCTTCAAGCAAGTGTACTGGGCCATTTCATTCAATTCACCGGTGGTGTGACGCGTGACATGGTGCGGTGAATTTTTTGCTTCACCGATATG